ACCAAATACAGGCTTCACTGCCAGAACAGCCCCACCCGAGCTGCCTCCCTGCTGGGGCCTGAGTGTGCCATCCTGCAGTGCCAAATCCACACCCAGGGCAGAGTGCACTGGGGCAGGTCTTGGGAGAACGACACAGCTTCATCGGGAAAGCTGCAGCTCTTCCCCTGCTTATTGAAACAGTGCAAATGTGGCCCAGGCACAGCCTGTCACTGCCCTACTTTGGGCCTTAAGTCACAGAAATCCTGGAAAACAGAGCAGGGGACGAGTCAGGATGGCTCTGCCTGACCTGCTGCTCTAGTGAGGTTCGTGCCTCTGGGCTTCCAGCTCACACTGTGGTCACAAGTTCCCAGGCAGCAGCAGGGCCGAGTGGGGTCTGCACCCAGAGCCCCAGGGCAGAGCTGGCAGTGGGACAGGCCACGAAGACACAGTCTGCAGTCCTGTCCACAGGAACACGTCACAGAGGCAGAGCAGCCCCCCCAGGGGAAGGGGCTGCAAGTGTGAAATCACTACAGCTTTGAGACACAGACACGCAGCAAAGAGCACTCAAGTGGGTGTTCACAACACGTCATTTCATTTCAATGGCATTTGGCATCAAACTGCTGAGATGGGCTGTAAAACCAGTGGGCGGGGACTGATTCTCACTGAAGAAGTTCATTAGATTACAAGTAATTCAGTTACACAGAGAGCAAGGAGGGCCTGGGGCTCTTTTGAGAGGCTTTTTGAAAAAGGTCAAAACAATGTATCAGGCAGCTGTTGGGAGTGATGGCTGTTGGGAAGAAGATAGCAGTTATTCCAAGAGAACCACAAGTGTATTCGTCTCCTGACTGTATTTCTCCATCCTTCTCATACATAACATAAAAACATTTTGCAAAAACTGGCACAGCAAAGAAGCCCATCAGCTGAGCTGCTGCCAGCATTGCTGGTGAAGTGAGACAGCTGTTCTGGAGGACATGAAGGGCTGGAAGCTCCAGCATCTTGTGAAAGGCAGCTGGACCCACCTCCCTGCTCCCAGCTCAGCAGGGGACAGAAACTGCTGCTTCTGCAGAGGCAAAATCCAGAACCAACCCCAAGCCCCAAGATTCTTCCTGTGGACAGGTGAAGCCACGTGACCTCTGGAACGACACACTATCACTAAGCCCTCATTTGGGAAGGTGAGATACTGCCCTGCTCACCATCCAGAACGGCTGCTGCTGAGCAGGCGGCAGGACCCTGGTTCTGGAGCCAGGCCAGCCAACTCAGCCCCTCTGCGTAAGCACAATAAACACCGAATTCCCTGGAGCCTCAGCTGATGGCAGCGGATGGTGTTCCCCACCCCAGCAGTGCACCCTGCTCACCACTGAACCGTTGCATGCATTTAAGTATCCTGCTAAGCAGCGAGAGACAGAGATACGCTTGGTGTCCATCTAGGCTGGGCCTCTGATGAACAAGCACTTTCACTGGAGTCATAATTCTCCACAAAAGTGTCCCAGAATAACATCAGTCTCTATTCCATGCTACAGTCCAGGAACTCCAGAAAGGAAGATCGAGTGTACCAAATTCTGCATGTACTCAACATTTATTTGAATATATAAGATCTATAAAACGTTGACATCCATTGCAGTCCCACATCATAGTGAATTTGCTGAGATGGGGTGGTGTGAGTGGAAGATGAATTTGTCTCATCCAGTAACTCTCCCCCTCTGGCTTGGATCTCCAAAGAAAGCCCCAGATTTGCTTGGGTACAGCTGGTTTTTAGTTTAAGCTGAGTGAAAACAGAATCTGGTCACAGCCTGATTCTGAATGCTGTGGCACACTCTGAAGTCTCATTGGCTTGCATGGCACAACCATGCCTTTCAGGACTGTTCCTCTGACTAGCTCAGCCCTGACCCTTCATTTTGAGGCACGGGAGAAGTATCTGAACTGCAGGATTGGTTGTGAAAAAATAACAGCAAAACTAATCAGCCAAGGTGGGGACAGTCAAAGCACAAGGGTTAAGGGTGTCAGAACAACCATGGGTGCTAAAAGTGCCACTCCTAGCCCGTACTGCCACTGTTTGAGATGTACATGCTGGACTCCAGTTCCACCCCTCTGCCACTCACCAGTACCTCTATTTGTGCTGGATAATCTCGCTCACCAGCTAAAAGGTACCTCCAAATATTTCACTAAAACATCCTGAATTTTATGAATCCTTATCCCCATTCTGGCTACACTCTTAAATTACTGCAATTTCTACTTGCCACTTCTTCTCCTGCTACCTAGTATCTCAAGGATTAACTGGACAGTGTGTAACCTCTTCTTAGTGCTCTGTAATAATGTCTGCTCTCTGTTCCTTTGTCTTAGCATTCTCTAATCTGTCTACAGATTCCTGTGCTTCTTTGTAGGCAATATCCAAGTGGGAAGCTGCTTTAGCCATCCATGAGGATGAGATTTATTATCTAGAAGCACACCAATAACACAGTCTTAAAAAAATAAAATAGCAGTCTCTTTCATCAAAATCTAATGAACACACGATTTAATCTTTATTAAGAATTCATTAGGTTCTCAGCAAGCCTGTCTAATGGAGCCTGACCAGGTGAAATGCTAATGGCTCCATTATATTTAAAATTAATTTTCAGCGATGTTAATTTCCCCGCGCCGCTCCCTGCACCCCGCTCTGCGCGGTGCCCACGGCCGCGCCGCTCTCTCCAGATGCCTGCTGCGTGCTCATGGCAACGCCGCTGTCCCCACCCCGGCCTCCGCACACTCCACTGGAGTTTCCACACTCACGGACGCCTCCCAGTTTCCACCACTACGAGCCCTTCCACCACAGCAGCCTCCTCGGCATTTCCATGTCAGGTACAAAGCTGCAGGCGTAGCACGCCTTACTCCCAGTCTGGTTAATGAAATATATATATATATATGTATAACAGGGTATATTTCAGTCCTTGATACACCAATATAGTCCAGCAAACAGGTTATTATCTTGATGCAATTTGCTTCAAAAACCAAGAGCTCTGCTCTTGGGAAAACAAGGGTGATTGCACACTAGTTGTGTAAGCCAGCACAATCACTGCCTGCCCTCCTGCCTGTGGGCTCTGTGTGTGTGCTCTGCTGTTGTGGTACCCACAGCCTCTCCCTCCAGCCCAAACCCATCGCCCGCCATTCCAGCACACTTCTGCAGAAGCAATTCCTAGAGATTAAATAATTTATTGGTGTTCATCTGCAACGACATCTCCCCTGATCCACCTTTTGCACACAAACAGCAGCAAACCAAACCCCCCCCGCCCCAGCCCCAAATCAAACTGCTGGGGTGGAAAGCCCCCTTTCAAACCGTGGAAGGGGATGCTGAGAGCCTCGACAGAAGCAGGGTACACAAATGTCGGTGGGGAAAGCCACGGCCACTGCTGGGCACTGGAGGTGAGGAGAGACCTCCCAGCCCCGCAGTGCCCTGGGAAAAGCACTGCCTCAGGCAGGGATGATGGTTTCATTGAACCCTCGAGGGGTGGACGCAGCGGCCACAGAGTTGATACAGAAATATCCGGGTCACCTGCTAAGCCACCCTGCCTGGAGGAGAGCTGGGCTGAAGGCCCAGATCTGCCCCCATGGTGCAGATGTGAGTGCAGACTCACAGTGGCACTCACACACACTGTCACTCACACACACTGGCACGCACACACACACTCACACACACATTCACACATGCTCACACATTCACACTCACACTCATTCACACTCACACTCACCCACACTCACACACACCCACACTCACACCATCACACCCACACTCACACTCACTCACACTCACACTCCCACTCACCCACACTCACACACTCACTCACACACACATTCAATCACACTCACACACACACTCACTCACACACACATTCACACTCACCCACACTCACACTCACACTCACTCACACACACATTCACACTCACCCACACTCACACACTCACTCACACACACATTCAATCACACTCACACTCACTCACACACTTACACACACACTCACACTCATTCACCCACACTCACACTCACTCACACACACACACACATTCAATCACACTCACACTCACTCACACTCAGGCACCCACGGCGGGCCAGCAGCTCCTCCCCGGTGCGCGGGTTCGAGCCCCCGCCGGGCGCTGTCCAGCGCCAACCGCCTGAACGCCGGGACCCGCCCGCCGGCAGAGACACCCGCACCCCCTCCCGCGGCCCATCCACACCCCGCTCCGAGCCTCTGCCCCTCGCTGAGCAACCCCGGGGGGCCCTCCCAGCCACGGATCCCTCTGCGACCACCGGCATCGCAAAGCGGCAACCGCTCCCAGCTGTAATCCAGACCCTGAACCAGCGCCCGGCTCGTTCCGTGATGGCGCCAGCCTCCAACCAGTCCCTCATGTCTGTATCGGTGGGAGGACGGCGTATTTCAATGTATTTTAATTTATATTAAAAAAAAGGGTGGAGGAGGGAGAGAATAGCCGTGCCACGGGTGTACCTCCACCCCTATCAGCCTTCCCTGCGCCTGCTTTCCTACGGGGTGCAATTACTCCAGCCACGGAGATGCTGGGAAGAGAGCGTGTGCTGTTTTTTTGCACGGTAACATCTAATTAAACACGGGGAGAGCGTGTGGGAGCCCCAGCGAGGCGCAGCGCCGGGTACCACCGGGAGACCCGGACCCCCGAGCAGGAGGGGTTTGAATGCGACGGGCGGCCAAGTTTGCCATTCATTAAGAAAAAGGAGAAGCTAAAAGCTCGATATAAAAGGGGCTTCGAGAGCGACAGGGAGCCTTGGTTTAAATCCGCAGAGCCGGCAGATAACACCCCGACATTAAGCCTAAGCGACAGCGGGGACATCGGCGCGGAGGGGAAGGTGGGCTGCCCGCCCGCCCCCTCCCCGCGGGGCGACGCTTCAGCACCCGCGGGCGCGGACAGCGCCGGGCGCGGCGGCCCCTCAGGTAAACATGGCGCCCGCGGCCCTGCTCACCTCCGCCAGCCCCCGCCCCGCGCCCGCCCGGCACCGCCGCGCCCCCCGCAGCACTTACTTCATCTGCTTCACGATGGTGCTTTTGCCCGACTCCCCGGCTCCTGTGGGGAGAGAGATGAGGTGGGGTAAGCGCGGGGGATGAGGAGGAGGAGGGGGCGATGGGGGCGACCGGCGGGTTCTCACCGAGCAGGAGGAGTTTCACGTCTTTGGCCGCGCTGATCCCGTCCTCCTTCAGGTTCTTCTCGATGGCCTTGCTCCGCTCCAGGGCGGCTCTTTCCTCAGCGCTCAGGGTACATCCCATGGCGGCGATGAAAATTTAAAAAAAAAAAAATTAAAAAAAAAAAAAAAAAAAAAAAAGGGGGGGGGGATGCAGCCCCCGCCGCCGCCGCCTCGGCTGGCTCCCGCGGGCAGAGAGGGGGAGGCGGCCGGGGGGCAATAAAAGAATCAAAGCAAATGGCCGTGAGGCTCCGGGCAGCGCAGCGCCTCCGCGGCGGGGCTGCCGGCTCCCTCCTGCCCCTCTCTCCCCGCGCCTGAGCGCTCAGTGCATCCAGCGGGGCTGCTGCGGGCACGGCGAGCTCTTCCCGGCCGGGAGGCGGAGGCGGAGGCGGGGGAGGAGGAGGAGGAGGAGGAGGAAGCGGGTTGGCGGCGGGGGAGGGTCCGTCCCTCTGCCGTGCTCCCGGCTGTCGCTGTCCCCTCCTGGGCGGGCGGCGGAGCCGAATGGAGGCGCGGGCGCGGCGGGGCGGGCGGAGGGAGCGCGGGGGCGCGCCGGGATGCGCGATCGCGCCGGCCGAGCCCGCGCCCGTGACGCGCGCGGCTCGCGCATGCTCGGGGCGGCCCCGCCCGCCCCACACGGACAGGGATGGAGACAGGGACAGGGATACGGACATGGACATGGATGGGGACACGGACAGGGATACGGGCACGGGCACGGGCACGGGGGGCCCTCAGCCGCGCTCCGGCTGCCTCCCTGCCGGACACTCGCAGCTGGCTCTGCCGTGGTGGACGGTCCGGAGGGGAAGGCGTGTGAGGAGCGGCTGAGGGCACTTGGTCTGCTCAGCCCAGAGAAGAGACGGAGGGCAGAGCTCCCCGCGGGCTGCGGCTTCTCTGCCCTCTGTGACCAGTGACAGGACCCGAGGGAACGGCTGGAGCTGTGCCAGGGCAGGGTTAGGTTGGATATTAGGGAAAGGTTCTTCACCCAGAAGGTGATCAGGCACTGGAACAGCTCCCCAGGGCAGTGGTCACGGCATCGAGCCTGCCAGGCTTCAGGAAACATTTGGGCAACACTCAGGCACATGGTGTGGTCCTTGGGGTTGTCCTGTGCAGGGCCAGGAGTTCGACTCGATGGTCCATGTGGGTCCCTTCCAACCCAGGGCATCCACGGTCCTGAGCCTTGGCAGGGCTGAGCCCTCAGTGCCTGGCCGGGCACAGCAGGGTGTGGGCTCTGAGCTCCCACGGCCCGGAGCTGCTGGGCTCCCATGGCCCGGAGCTGCCGGGCTCCCATGGTCCGGAGCTGCTGGGCTCCCATGGCCCGGAGCTGCTGGGCTCCCATGGCCCGGAGCTGCTGGGCTCCCATGGCCTGGAGCTGCTGGGCTCCCATGGCCTGGAGCTGCTGGGCTCCCCACGGCCTGGAGCTGCTGGGCTCCCACGGCCCAGAGCTGCTGGGCTCCCATGGTCCAGAGCTGCTGGGCTCCCATGGCCCAGAGCTGCTGGGCTCCCATGGCCCGGAGCTGCCCGGCCCCTGCGCCGTGCCCTGCACAAGCCCTGGCTCCCCACGTGCCCTCGGGGTCCTCCTGCACCCACACACTGTGCTGTCACCCACCCCACAGTGCAGGGGATGTGACCTGACCTGCGGGATCCCTTCGGGAGCTCCTCACGGCTCAGTCACTTTGACCAGCACTTGCAACGTGAATCATTTACACGCTCGACGCAAGGCATCATGTTTCACTACCATGTTGGATTATGTTTTCCATCAGTGTAATTAACAGATGGTTTGTGTTTTTTGTGTTGCAGTGCAGTCACAGAGCTCACCAGATGACCTGCCTTCTTCTCATAACCATTCCACAATATCCAGCAGTGATTTAGGAATTCTAGCGAGTTAAAATCCTGCAATTTTCCATTTTACCATTTCACAAGGTTGGACAAAGAAGAAAACAAATGTCAACGGGGAGAATAAAATAAATAGGACTTTGTTTAAAATGCTTTCCTACAGGCCCAGACAAGTCACAGTATATTCAACTTTAATCCATAACATTGATTGATATGTGACAGTCTGGCTATAAAAAGATCTGGAGAGGAAAGAATGAAGTGTTGAGCACAGCAAGGTAAAATGCATCAAACTAAAATGAAGAAAATCAAGGACCGCTGTCTCATCTCTGGGAAGGACAAATTTCAGTAAACAAGAACTCTGCAGAGGGAGGTTTGCTTGTTGGGAAGTAGATGTGAATGCCGAGGCTGCTGCTGGTGCCTCTAAAGCCCATTCCAGCTCCCTGCCAAAAGGCAAATGGCTGCAGGAGGTTTGGCAGGAACACCCCCGTGGTGTGGGAAGGAAATGTTGGTTGGGGCTGCAGCGGGGTGGCCCCAGTGGGCTCAGGGAAGGCAGGGAGCTGCCATCTGTGCTGGTGGCTGGGGGTGACCGTGTTCTCACACTGTCTCTGTTTTCCACTGGGCACCTCTGTTCACTGCCTCCTCCGTGATCATCTGACCTGCTGTCCTGAGTTCTGCAGTTCCCATACCCAGGACCCTTTCTTTAGGGGTAGAAATACCATTTCTAATAGCATTTAGTGTATTTGAAGCATTAATTTCCAGGCACTGTCCTTCCAGGAAACCATCATCATCTCCCAGTGCTGTTTGCCATCCCTTGTTCCTCACAGAACATGTTCTTCCCATTTTCCCTCCTCACTTTTGAAATGAAAGGGAAAAACAGGACATGATTAATGAGATAAAGAGAGGGTGTGTGAGAAAAGCGGATGAAAGAAAGCAAAAGGTAACTCATAAATAATGTCAGTGTACTCAAGGACCGGTAATAATTACCAAACAATTGTGAGCTGTATATCTGAATTTTGGGTAATTTATTTCTGGAAGCTCGGGGGACTGAGATGGACAAGCAAGCCTACTTCTTGTGTTCAGCAGGGAATAAACGGAGATGGGCGCGGTTATAGAGCAGTTCCTGCTCTTTCTTATTTGCACAAATCTCATGTGTAAAATCAATAGGATCAGAATTTCAATCAATAGGTTTCATTTCAATGGTTCTAGCCAGAGGGCATTATGAAAAGTGCCGTATAGGAAAAGCACAATCAGGAAATCCAGAGGCAGTGTCCTCATGAGATCGCTGCATTTTCTTCCCGTCTCCTCCAGCAGCTTGCCAGCCTTGGAGTCATATTGGGAAATTCTCCAAGGGTTTTACTAAGAGAATTAGTCTTTTGTATCAGCCTCTGGCTACTTGTTATCTGACAAATTTGTAGCCCCTGCCTCCTGCCATGGAGAAAATTATTTCTCTTCTGCTTGACCAGTGTGGAGTCTGCACTCAGCCCTTTGTCCCATGTACATCCCCATCGCTGCACAATCATCTGCTAATTTCTTTCTTAAGGGAAAATCAGAAATTGGCAAGTCTTCTCCTTGCTCTTTCAGCTCTCAGAAAAATTCAGGAGAGCAGCTGTGAAATTGAAATTGAGCCGTTTCTGAACTTTCTTTTTTTTTTTTACTGCTGCTAACTGAGTGGAGCTGGTGGGAATGTTTCTTTTGAAATTTTCTTAGAGGGAAATTTCAATTTTTTGAAAAATCTGCTTATTCATGGCAGATGAATTTCAAGAACCTGAAAGAAAAAAGCCTGCCTCCCCCACCAAACAAAATGCATCCCAGCCTACTTGGCTTTTGAGATAAATATATTGGGTTTTGTTGCTGAAAAAGATGTTTCCCTTTTTCAGGAGCTGACAGAAGTCCTCTTTTAATAAAAATGGTTGCTGGCAGTAAAAACTTCAGATGAAATTAGGTTTCTTTTTTTCCCCCTTAAATATAAAAGGATCTCTCCATAAAAGGTGGGGAGAAGAACCTTTTTTTCCTGGCTATTCCTGCAGTTAAACAACTTCACTGAAGGTGCATAAAGCACATGCTTGTCTCTGCTTGGACCGCTATCTTCCAAACCTAAAAGTCAGCAGTGTATTTTAAATAGAAGTCTTTATTCTCCTGTGTCTCATCTGTGCCTCAGCACAACGCAGCTTCTTTCTGCAATCACTTTTCAACCATTGTGCTAGAAAAATTAATCAGAGAGTAACTCCTTTAAGAAGTGAAAGATGGTACCATGACTGACAGATGCCTTTGAAGCAGACTGTGCCAAAGTGATGTTGTGGGGCAGATGATGACTCTGTGATCTCTGGGGTGGGCAGGGACATCTTCAGCATGACCAGATTGCTCAGAGCCAGGCCCAGCCTGGCCTTGAACGTTTCCAGGAATGGGGCATTCACCACCTCTCAGGGAACCTGCAGTGTCTAACCCCCTCATCACCAAACGTTTCTTCCTTATATCTAGTCCAAATCTACCCTCTTGCAGTGTAAAGCTGTTTCCCCTTGTCCTGTTGAACAGACCCTACTGAAAAGTTTGTCCCCAAGCTTGCCAGGAGGTAGTAAAAGGGGGTGGGAAAACTATTCAGTGGGCCTTGAGAAAGTCTCACAGCTACCACAACACGCCCACCACAACTGAGGCTGCAGTAATATTGGAGGGAACAGCAGGTTGGATCCATCCCCATAATTAGCTGATACTGCGGGTTCAGCACATCCTCAGAGAACTGGTGGGTGGCATGCAGAGGGAGTGGGGCAAGCCCAGGATGATGTGGCCGTAGGAGGAAAGCTGCAGTGCTCTGCAACTTGTCTTTCCCCTCCCACTCCAGGATTGTTCTGTCCAATCTGTAATCTCGTATTCCCCCAGCACGGTTTTAATGCACATGCTAATGGAGCAGCCACCAATCCCACCGAGAGACAGCGATGCATTCTCGCAGATCTCACCATTAGGAAGTTTTCCCCGGATATTCAGCCTAATTTTTCATTCTTGAAATTGATGTCAATTACCCCCCAGCTAAACCTAGTTATGCAGTGGAAGGCAGGTTTAAAACACTGCGTGATCTCCCTAAATTGGAGAAATGGACAGAAATCAATACAATGAGAGGCAATAAGCACGCCCATAAAGGTTAAGTGGTTGATGCAGGAAGGATTAATGAAATGCACACATACTAGGTCAAATTGCAAATATCCTTCCTTCACTCTTCCTCACTCCATACCCCACAAATATGTTCTACTCCAGCAAATCAAAGGAGGAAGCACCTTAGAATTTGACTAGCAACTTGGAGAAGTAGAGACCAATGTTAAAGGAAGAGAAGGTGTGGGGTGGATTTATTGTAATGTTTATTGTAATGTTTATTGTATTGGCATCAAAACAAGAATGAGACGTCAGTATTAAAAAAACAAACATGTGGATAAGAATATGACCTGCAATAAACTTGATGTTAAGAAGTAAGATGGACAGCCTGACCAAGCCTTGAGAAATGCTGAAAAACCTACTTTTGTTGTTAGTTTTTCATGCCTGTCTGGGTGGATGATGATAACTCCAGGACGTGGGAGTCACTGACAGCTCCTGTCTTGGAACTGGGTGAAGTTTTTGGCCAGGGCTGATGGGGTTAACACATTTGCATGGCAAAGGCATACAACAGCTT